ACAGAAACTGGCTAATCTCAAATACTTAATGAAAAAATAGAAAGATATGGATTGTTTGATAGGTTACTCAATTTAAGTATACTTTAAAGGTTTACTTTGCAATTTATTTAATCCCCAATTATTTTTAACTTATTTTAATTTATTTTATCTTATCTTAATTACTTTTAACTTATTTTTAATCCTATTACTAGTTTGGCCATATAAATGTACAATTCATTTTAGTTCTTGTATGGGTTCCGATGCTTGCTTTCCAGGACACCGTAACTTTTGGGAGTATAGTGGTAATCAGATGTTGACTGGTCTCCAGGTGAACAACATGTTAATTGGCTTTTATGTTTCCAGTTTTAGAAAGTGAGTCACTGTTGCTGTTAGAATACTAAACAAGTCTCTTCTGCTCTTTACTTTTGACTTTGTTCCTTTGGGATTGGGAGGGTGGTTTGTTAGATCATAGCTGTGCGTTTAAAATTACAGCTGTCATAAGGACTTTACATATACCAATGTATATAGCATCACTGTAAGGTAAATGGTTATTGTTCCCCTGTTTCAAATGAGGACGCTTACAGCGAGTAGCGAAGTCAGATCTACAGTGGAGCAGTTCATCCAACACTTGGCCCTGCGTAGCCTCTTGAAGTAAGCTGATTCTCTCCAGCCCTAGTTCTCATACTTTTAAAGAAGTTTTACTATATTTTTAAGATTTCATACATGTATACAATGCATTCTGATTATTCTCACTACCTTCACCTTTTCTGATCCCCCGCACACACCTATCAACCCACTTTTACTTGTTTTTTTTTTTCTTTTGGAATTGAGACAGGCCTTTTTACAGTGCATCCCTGGCTGACTTGGAATTTATTATATAGACCAGACTAGCCTCAGAAATCACAGAGTTCGGCCTGCCTTTGCTTCTCCATGCTGAGTTTACAGGTGTGCACCACCATGTACTCCTGTATTAAAGCTTTTAAATTATGATTATTTTTTATTTAAATGTGTGTGTGGGGGGCATTCAGAAATTGTTTCTCTCCTTTTACCGAATAAGTCCCAGGGCTTAAATTCAATTCACTGGGTTTGGTAGGTATGGCTTTTAATAACCATTAAAACCTGCCCTGTTGTTATATTTTGATAATAATTTAGCTGTTATTCACAAGCAAAGTTTGGCATTCAAATTTTTTTTTATTCTTGAAACTTACTTATGATTGCCATAATATATTTTTGCTGTGATTATATTTTGAATAACTTATTTATTTAAGACCTGTCAAAATGTTTAATCCCTTGAGAGATAGAAGAATGAATACCTTCTAATTAATGTTAGTTTAGAAATAATTAGATAGATACAAAACAGCCATTAGTCATATAACCAATTAAAAAAAACTTTTCTTAAAAAATCTCATGTTTATATTTGTGTGTGTGTGTGTGTACCTGCATGCAAACCACATGAGTGCAGCACCAGAACATGATGTCAGAAGGCATCAGATGATGACATTAGAGTCTCGGGTAGTCTTGAGCTGTCCTGTATGTTTTTGGAACTGAGCTGACATCTTTTGTAAGAACCGCATTACCTACTACTGAGCCATTCCTTAACAAACTGTTTTCACTTAAAGTTTTTTTTTTTTGACCTTTGTGACAAGATTTCACGTGGCTCAGGCTGGTCTTAAGTTCACTGTGTAGCCTAGGTTAACTATGAACTCCTCATTCTCTTAACTCAACTTCATGGATTACTGGCATTTGATATTGTGTCCAGCTTCTTTTCACATCTTCATAGTAGTTGCTTTGAAGCAACTACATTCTTAGTTTTTATTTGTTTATTCCAGTACTCTGAATTTTATTTAACCTAATTTGTTTAGTTTATCTTAGTTTAATATGCTTTTGTTTGTAAACCAAAATTGGAAGCAGCACAAGCAATGAAAGTTTCCTCTTTTCTTTTAATATTTCTCTAATATCATTAATTCTATGAAAATTTTATATATGTATACAATGTATTTTGACCATGTTTTTCTCTTCTATTCCCCTTACCTCCTCCCAGATCCTTTCCCACCAAGTTCTCATCAAGTGTTTTATTTATTTCTTTCCATAACCCAGAGTCCAGTTTTTCTCTCATGTATTTCTAGATATAAGACCAGCCACTGGAGCTTGGTCAACTTACCAAGAGCCACACCCTAAAAGATAACTGACTCTCATCAAAAGTTAGATACAGTAGCTCCTCAGCCAGGAGTGGTACAGCTGGAATACTAACTCATAATAAATAAGGGCTTTGTTGCTGCAGTTTTTGCTTTTGAAACAGGGTCCTTCTCAGCAGTTTTGGCTGTCCTGTAACTCACTATGTAGATCAGTCTAGCATTAAACTCAAAGGGATCCACCTGCATTTGCATCCTGACTGGTGGAATTATTTGCTCATAGCTCTGTCTTTCTTTTCACTTCTTTTTTTTCCCTGGTGTTCCTCAAACCCCCTCTCATTTATAATCATTGTGAGTCAGCATTTTTACATTTGACAGAGTTCATCGGAGGACATTTTGTTTCACACCATTTAGTATTTATCAAGAATTTTCTTTATAACTTGACTTGAAAATATGTATTAGTATTTTTTTTCAGTTTTAGATCATAATTTTTCATCAGGACTCTTCATTGTTATCTTGAAAAAAATCCATGTTTTATTTTTTATATTTGAATGAGAAGATAAAGGGTTGACACAATAGCTCAGCTGTAAAACATACTTGCTGTCAAGGCTGACAAACTCTAACTTCAGGATCCACCTGTTATAAAGAGATCTGACCTCTATAGCACACACACACACACACACACACACACACACACACACACACACACACACACAGAGAGAGAGAGAGAAAGAGAGAGAGAGAGAAATAAAACAATCCAATTCTAAAAAAATGATAACATAGTATATGTAACTAATTTCTAAGTTATAATTCATAGCCTGTTTTCTTCTTGATTCTTTTTCAAGGACGGTAAACAGACTTCTCAAGTGTTTATAGCAGAGAAGGTTTTTGAATGAAATATTTCAGTGATTTTGCTCTTATCCGTTTTTCTGATATTGAACTCTGATACAGTTGAAGAATTTGATTTCACTTAAGTCCTTGGTATAACATTTAAGCTATAAGTGCATGTTAAGTTATACTTCTTAGTACTTCATTGTCTGTAATTAGTTGAATAAAGCAACTTGTTTGCGTTGTTGATTTTGATTTCTTGTCCATGTCTCACAAACTTGTTTTATAGTTTACAAGCTAATGGATTGAGCCATAACTTCTATGAGTTATTCTTCATCCTTAACAATTATTAATACATTTAACTTTAAAACAATTAAGACAAACACTATTATTAACCCCATGAACCCAAATGCCTGAGAAATTAGTGATTAGCCCAAGAATATTACAAGATGGAGTCCACTGCAGTTCACTGTATTTTCCAATGTTGGGTCAATCAGGCCTTTATGCTGTGACAAGCCCTCAAACCCCTTCAAAGGAGGAAGATTTCTTTTGCTTCAAGGTTTCAGTGTTGGGTGGCCTTACTCTGTGGTGAAACAGAACACCATGGCTGTAGTCTGCTGTGGTGCTAGAGCACAGCCACTGACACACTGTTTCCAGAAAGCAGAGTTGAGGCAGGAAGAGGCCAGGAACAAGCTAAACACTTTGTGACATACATCTCCAATGGGGATACCATTTAATCCAACAAATGACTGATCCACTGATTAGGTAGGATTCCTTCTGGTCCAATCAACTCAATAACTGGATCTATCAGTTGAACCCAAAATTTGAACAAATGAGGTGGTGTTTTAGGGGGTAAATTTCTGGGGGTTTATCATAACATGAGTACCTTCTCAATGTGTAGTGAGCACCTTAATATGCAACAAGCTTCAAAACCAAAGATTTTCTTATTTAATATTTTCACTAAACCTCCAGCTCTGATAAAAGTCTGTGGAAGAAATGTTAGATTCTGGTCAGACAACTCTTGTATCTGTGTGTACATGAGAATCTTATTATTTTTCCCAATAAACAAAAGAATTGCTGAAAGACTTAGAAACTCACAGAAACTGTGAATAACTTAGAAAATGTCTTAGAACCAAATCAGTTATTGGCTACAATATGGTGTCAATTATTAAAGCAGGAACAATCAAGTTAGAATTAGAGAATGCTGGAATTTTAGATTACAAAAAGAACACATCTGTTTGGCATAGAACCAAAGTTAGCAATGGGAATGGATACTGAGCAATTTAAAAAAGGTAAACTTATTTGAAAAACAAAACAAAAACCTGTGTGAAATTTTCTAATATGAATTTCAGTCATCCAGTCTCCCAATGAGTCTTCCTATCTTAATCTGTATTTAACAGTGAAGCCACATGCTCTAACATTTACATGTGTTTGTGTGACCTAGCTTAATACTCTTTCTTGCTTGTTTGTCAAATTCAGCCTGTAGAAAAGCCAGTGAAATCCTTAGTAAATGTATATTGTTGATGTGGTCATGGTCATATCAAGGACCAATGCTTCAGTCTCATAGAAGTCACAAAACCTTTCTTGGCATAGCTCAGAGGGGCATCTAAGCCTGTCCTAGGGGATGGGTGTAAATATTTGCAGTGAGTACAGAACATATCCCCTGTAACTTTCTAGATGCCCCTCTCTCACACCTCATAATTATGGTCTGAAGACTAACACCCTACAAAGACTTCTATGCCTACCAAGATTAGTCAAGCATGCCTCCTTGTACAGATGTATATAATAACACTGTCTCCTGCTCTGGCTGTATTCAAAATCTCTGCCTCCCTATTCAAGTGTGTATAATAAAGCCACTGAGATTCTGAGTTGCTGAGGTTTCTCCATCAGAGAGCCCAGTTTCTGTAATTCCAGTTTTTCTGTGTTTCTGTGTATTTGTCTTTTCTTTGTTCCCTCACCCCTGTCATAATCAATCCCTGGAGCCCTGGCACCAGCCTTGTTACACTATCCAGCCTCTACCTGCCTCTGCAGGTTCAACAATCACCCCTCTCCCCAACATACCTTTCACAGGAAGTTGTATTCTCCTTAAAATTCCTTCCAAAGTGCTGCCCCTACTGCTGGGCACCCTTCTGATGGAGGAAGTCCTTCTGTGTATGTGTTGCTTTTATTGGTTAATGAGTAATGAAATTGTTTTAGGCCTGTGGTAGGGCAGAATAGAGCTAGGCAGGGAAAACTAAGCAGAATGCTGGGAGAAAGAAGTCAGAGTCAAGTAGACAGCATGTAGCCTCAGAACCTTGCCAGTAAGCCACAGTCACATGGCGATACTTTAAAGATGTCATATTTTTAAAATTTGGTTCTAAGGATATGTTTCTTTGGAGAAAGTTATTCTTTTGTTTGCACAGAGAATGAGAACCTACGGATTCCTTTCAGGCCAATTTAGTTTGATGGACCAAGAACCCTGAATGGTAGCCATGAACATGCCTCAAAATACTTTGCCCAACAAAAAGCAGGAAGCAGTTTGGAGAGACCTATACCCCAATTCCCAAATATTGTTTATAAATATTTGTTTATATTTAAAGTAGGATATGATATAGATATGAATTCTTTGCATTTGTATGTATCTTAGTTTATTTATACAAAATTAAAGTCAATTTTGTTATACTGAGTATATGTATTTCTGCTCTTGATTAAGGTATCCTGTTTTGCAGTTCATTTTAAAATGTAATGTATAACTAAGAAATAAAGGTTAATAGACAGTTATCTATTATAGACAATGTTGTAGTGATGTTATTTAGGTTTTCTAGATATAGAGAGATATATTTAATTTAGATAGGTATTATTGAAAACATTCAAAGAACAATAGAATATGCCATTTAAACATTTTAAAAACTTAGGACTTTTTATGACAGTGAGACACATTTGCTGCTGACAGCACCAAGTTACTTCAAGAGGATGACGGGCACCAAAGAGGCCCCTTATGACATTAGTTAGCCATTTGGGTAAGAAACTGTTCTTGCCTGAACTGCTAAATGCTATGCTGTATGAATTTGACATACAGGATTTCCAGGAATTGATTACTGAACTTGTGCAAAGGTGAGACAATCCTTTAGGCTTTCTGTTTCATGAAAGAGTCTGCTAGACATTCTGCAGGACACAGAAAAAAAAGGTGACTGAAAAACTGCCATTATGGGGGGAACTGTATTTGAAATGTCCTGCTTCATGGAAAAGTTTGCCAATAGGCTGAAGATGGGTGCCCACAATGCTTCAAAAGAACTTTGGGTGACTGTCCAAGCAGTGAGATATCTCTGTCAATTCTAAAGATTTAGAAATTGCTTACAATACACTTTCTGGTTACCTAGGTAATAGTATATCCTTCTGGTGTCTTTGATAGAGTTGGAGAATAGATCGTTATAGTTTTCCTTAAATATAGAATATAAAGCAAATATAAATATTGTAACTGTAATTCTTGCTTGACACCTGCTTTTTCATATGTAATTTTACTATGTTAAAGCTAAAACCTTCCTTTTTATTTAGACAGAAAAGGGGAGATGATGTAGGAAGTCCTTCTGTCTATGTGTTGCTTTTATTGGTTATGGATAAAGAATCTTTTTGGACCTGTTATAGGGCAGAATAGAGCTAGGTGGAGAAAACTAAAAATGCTGGGAGACAGAAGACAGAGTCAAGTAGATAAGTGTAGCCCTTCCAGAGACAGAGGGCAGACGGAACTTTATCCGGTAAGCCACAGGCATATGGTGATTCCACCATAGAAGTCTATGCAGTGACTCAAAAGTACTTTAGATCTGCTCAAGTATTAAGTAGACACCTTCTGATTTACCACAGTGTTACTCAAAAGTATAGACCAGTGGTCTTCAATCTCCCACTCTATGAAAAGGGAAGTGTAAAAGTGTAAATTGCTGACTGCTTTCTAAAAGAAACACAATTGTCATAATTTCACAAAGATTTATTTTTATTGAGGGTGTGTGTGCACTTGTGTGTAGCCTTTGGAAGCTAGAAGAAGCATCAATCCTGACAGAACTGGAGTTAGCAGGTAGGTGTGTAACTGCCCAGTGTGTGTTCTGGGAACTGAACCTAGGTCCTCTCCAAAAGCAACAAGTATAAGTGTTCTTAACCTCTGAGCCACCTCTCTAGTCCCTGGTTATCAATGCTTTAAATTCCATATCCCTCGACACTCAAAATGTAGACATATCCAAGAAGAATTGTGAATTATAACTTTCAATATTTGCCATATTTGAAATTAAATTTGGGCATTGTGGTAAACACGTTAATCCTAGTGCTTGGGACGCAGAGACAGACAGATTTTTGTGAGTTTGAGGTCAACCTGGTATACAGAGCGAGTTGCAAGACAACCAGAGATTCATAGTTAAACCTTGTTGGAGAGATGTTTCCCAATCAGGATTACTTAAGTGTTAATCACCTGAGCTGTAGCTAATAAAACAGTGTTGTGCTCATATGAACAGGATATTCTACTGGGCAACTTACTGTACAGCAGCTCTTTATATGCAATCTGAAATTTGATATATTTTTTCAAGGTTCATTATTTTCAACACATGGTCTCCCTATGTAGCCCTTGCTGTCCTGGAACTCACTAACTTAATTAGGGTGTTCTTGGATTTAATAGATCCTACTGATCTGCCTCCCAAGTGCTGGGATTAATGTTGTTTCAGCATACACAGCTTTTAAAACATTTTTAAAGATTATCTATATGTGTGTTAGCACACATGACTCATGCACACAAACAGTTGATGTGGAAAGCAGGAAAGGACATTGGGGCTAGACCTTGAGCCACCTGACATGGGTGTTGGGAGCTATCCTCAGCAAGAGAAAATTGTTTCTTAACCACTGAGCCACCTGTAACCCCCACCCCCACTTGATAACTTTAAAGGAATGATATTTTATATCACCATTTCCAACATACATATATATGTATTTTCAAAATATATGTACGTGTATGAAATGAGTCCCTGTAAAAGATTTGTGTGTGTCAGTGCCACATCAGACTGGGATAATTTTGTGTTAGTCATCATTGTCATTGTCTTCATCATCAGTTTCTTCATTCTCCTCAGCTGAAAGTACAGTGGCCTCCTGTGTGGCCCTGGAAGCCTATTCCTCACCCACATTGGGATTGTCCATTTCTGTAATTTCCAGTCCACTGGGGTATAATTTGTAGACCGGTGACAGGCCTGGGGTGTGTAATTCTCCACACTATACTTATGACCAGCCTACGTAGATGCTTTCAAACTTTCTATGAATGAAAACAAAAGAAAGTCACGTCTCTTAAGAAAAGTAGACCCCTTTATACTGATGAGGTCCTGTTACTATATTTTGCAACCATGTTTTTTATTTTAATGCCAGAGTGAAATAGTTCCCAATAATTTCTCACCTACTGGAAATTATTGTTTACTAAACTGCTAAGTCAGTTATGAAAAACAGAGTCGGGGAATGGAGAGATGACTCAGAGATTAAGAGCATTGGATGTTCTTTCAGAGGACCTGGGTTCTATTCCCAGCATGGCCATGCACAACTGTCTTTAACTCAGTTCCAGTGGATCTGACAGACTCACACAGATGTGCATAAATTAAATTTAAAAAAAAGGCCAGATACTGTCAAAAATGTACTCTGTATTTATACCTTCCTCAAGAAAGGGCCTTATCCAGTTATTCAATTATTTAATTTTTACAGAGATTTTCTACAAAATTTGAAAGTTGCAAGCCTTGACTGGATGAAGAATGAGGTGTAGCTAAAAACTGATTTGTTATTTTTTTTCAGGCCAGATCTTAGGAAATTGCAAAGGCTTTCCCTTGTAGGCCTCACCCCACTTAGGACATAATGCATTACCAGTCATCAGACTGCCCCTTGCTAGCAGGAGTTTCAGTCAAGAACTCTGACCCCAAGGCTGGTCATGTATCCCTAACTCAAGAGCTTTCATCTGCTTCCAAGCCAGGTCATGCATCCCTAACTCAAGAGCCTTCATCTGCCCCAAGGCTGGTCAAGCATTCCTAACTCAAGTGCCTTCTTGGTGTTCTGTCTCTGGCTGGAAGGCCCACCCCTCCTCATGATCCCACCCGCACATCCATAAAACTTCCTCAGTCTTTTTTCCTGGTTGATCCTTCTCAAAGAGATGACCTCATGAGGCCCACATATCAGTGACACACATTTATGCAAATCTATTTTATCATTGGAAGAGAATAATGGGGGAAAAGATCAAAACTTTCTCTTCCTCATGCTATCATGGTAAATAATTAAAAACTTGGCTCTTACTTGTTTTTTTAAATGTGCTATTTTATTAATTATTTGAGAATTTCACATTATGCACCCTGATCACACTCACTTCTCAGTTCTTCCAGGTCTGCCCCTTAACCCTTGTGTCCCTCCCCCCAAAAGAAAGAATAAAAGCCACATGTCCAATTTATGTTGCTCATATACTCTCTGGAGCTTAATCAAACATGCAGTGGCCTTTGGTTTTCACTTTTGACTTAACTGTGGTTTCTAAATTTGGTCATACAATATATGTCATCCTATTCCTTCCTCCAACCCCTTCCAAATCCCCATGCATCCAACTCGCTTTTCTTTCTTTGAAGCAAGGGATCAGACACACATACACACACAAAGTATTTTGTGTTGGCCAGCTAACACCTTAACATGAGGCTTGGTTTAATGGCTAGTCTAACAAAGGTAACTCGGTTTTTACCTACTTACTTGAGCTTTCTGCTACTAATTAAGGAAAAAACAAACAAGATGAATGGAACTGTGTTCTCTCTCAGCAAGATACAAAGGAAGCTGTAATAGTCTCTTGATCCTAATTCCCTTGAAAGTGATCACTTAAAGAATATTTTAAATGACGTTTTTCAAAATGCTCAAAAATTTCAGTTCCACATTAAACTCTCCACTAACTTAATGAATAGGTGATGTAAAACCATGCCCAATATAGATAAATAGGATAATTAAGATGAAAAAGTACAACCCTGAATTACTCTAGTTCTGAACTTCATCTTTACTGTATTACAGAAGTCATTTTAAAAAAATCACACACTATATATCTAACATGCCAAAAGGAGTTAAGACAGGAGTAACAACATCTGTGATAACTTAATTTCCAGAGCCTAAACAATTACAATTGTCAG